TTTTTTTTTTTTCTATTAAAAATAATCTTCACAAGCGATTTGTTTTATCTCATCAATATTTGTGTAATGTAAAGTGGCTTTATATGATGACTTGATCGGTCTGTTTTCTTCTTACTCTTGGCAAAATTTCGATAAGGAAAGGTCAAGAAAGAAAAGGAATATACCAACACTGAATCATTATTTTTTGTTTTATTCATATGTACTTGTGTTTTCGAAATACATTTTTGTAATACGACAAAAAAAACAGTTAGTTAAAATGATTTTGCAACTTTAAAAAAGTTAAATTTAGGTTCATTAATAAATGTTGAACTAGGAATATTTCATACATTTTCAACAGCTTATAAACAAAGAAGGACCACCAATAAAATCGAAGATAAAATCATTTAAACAAATAAAAACAATATCAGATTTTATTGAAAATATCCAATTCAGTAGTTGTCTTCACATCAATAACAATTTTTGATAAATTACAAAAAACTGTTGATTTGACTTCTCAGATTATGATGATGAAGAACAGTTTCGTCAATTAATCCAAAATGTCATTCGAAATGAAAGCTTGATGTCAGGTGTAACTGCTGAGCAAGAATTCGAATGAATGTATTTAAAATACAAATAGAATTTTCTAAAACACAAAATCTTCTTTTCAAACAATTTTTATTTCAATTCAGTTTAAACTATACCATATTTTCTTTTCTTTTCTATAGAATTCGAGAAAAATTAACAAAAGATGAAGAATTTAACATGTATTTGTTCGAATAATTTTTCATGGATTGTCGATAATAAAACTTCACTTTTTCTTTTATTTTTATTTCTCGATTTTTATTCAATAAAATAGCTTCTTTTCTTTATACAAAATCAAACTTTTATTTACAAAATTAGTTCAAATTTTTCAATTCGATTATTTTTGAAATCAGCAACATAAAGATTGCCTTCATCATCAAAAGATAAATCAGTGGGTTCACTCAATTGATTTGGTTCATTTCGTTTACCATTTCCACCAACAACAATCTCACCTCCTTCTTTTCCTTCACACCAACGCATTATTCGATCATTCCAACAATCTGCCACATAGATTTGACCCAAATCATCAACAATTACTCCTTCAGGATAAAACAGTTGATTGAGATTTCCTCCAAAACCATTTCCTCCAGCCACAACTGTTCCTTCTTTTGCATTTTTTCTCCATTTCATCACACGATTATTGTTTCCATCTGATACATAAACAGATTGATCTTCATTAACAAAGATAAAATGAGGTTCATTAAGTTGATTGAGTTTCTTTCCTTGTCCATTTCCACCTGCCACTACAATTCCTTTGTTGTTGTATTCTCCCATTTTCCACCGTCTCACTTCATTCTTCATATAATCAGATATATAAAGAAATCCATGTTTATCTATTGCCAAGCCATAACAATCAATACCGTGGATGAGAATTTGTTGCGTTTGGTTCAACCATTGGATCACTCGTCTATTTCCATAATCAGTAATGATGATTAAATGATTTTGCTGATCAACAATCACATCTGTTGGCCTATTCAATTGATCCATTCGATTTCCTTCTCCATTTCCACCTGCAATGATATCTCCTTCTTCTGCATTATGTTTCCATTCAACAATACGATGATTAAAAGAATCAGCAATGAAATTTTTTTTGTTTTTATCGATGAAGATTCCAGAAGGGCTGCTGAGTTGATTTAATTCTTGTCCTTTTCCATTTCCACCAGCCACAGTGATGGCATTTCGTTTCCATTTGCCGAATTTTGGTCCTAGGAAATGGTGAAAATCAAACATTTTAATAAAAAGGAGAAGAACAAAAAGAAAAGATTAGTTTTCAATGAATCTTTAAGTTTGTTTTTCTGTTAAAGTCGAATTTAGAATGAAATGCTGATAAAAATGTATAATGAATAGACAAATTTTATTTGATTCTTTGTTAAATTTTGAAAAGAATTTTAATCACAAAAATCTTTTTTTGTTGTTTTTTCAAATAGAATGTCGTAAATTGAAACAAGGAAATCTTTTGTTTTGAAAAGAGAAAAGAATTTGAAATTTATATTTATTTGAAATGAAATTTAGACGAGAAAGAAGTTTGATCGATAGATAGTTTATTTTTGAAATAAAGTGACAAATATTTAATTTGAAAAAGAAGGAAGAAAAACAAAAATAATAAAAAGATTTTGCTGATTTATTTTTGTTAAATAATTATTTGAAAAAAAGAAATATTTTAGAAAATTTGCCAATAAAAAACTAATTTGAATTGAAACATTTGCGAAAAATAAAATAAATTAAAAACTACTTAAAATACTTCAATTAGAAATAAATTTTATCTTTCATTTTTTCTTATTATAATTACTATTAAAATATTACAGAAAAAGTAAAATGAGATGATTTAAGAAATAAAAGAATAATGAAAATTGAAAATATTTAGTTTTGATCAAAATCAAATTCAAATTATTCGTTTTTTCAAAGGTTTAGCTTTTCAAAAATTTAAATTTTGCTTTCTTTTCTTTTAAAACAAATCTATTTTTCTTCATTTCAATTCTTTCGTTTAACGCTGATTCACCCACCTGAAATCCAGGCAGACTTCAACAAGTTTCGTTTTGATGTTATACGTACTAAAGTCAGAATTAAATCACACCTTTTTAAATATGTTCTCGTGACGAGTAGTAGAATATGTAACTGATGCTAGTCGTTTACTACCATTAGTTATATATGTAATAAACTATTCGAATTACATATGAGTACTTGTTGACCAATTCGGCTCCGTAAGGATCTCAGCGAGATTCAATTTAATTCCCTGTATTTTATAACTTTAATTCAAAACTTGTCTTGTGAGATATATATCAAGGACTCTTAATAGAGTATGCTGTCAACACCAGTCAATCAGACTCAGTTATTGCTAACGCGAAAAAGCACCTGAAAGTACACGCGTGGAGGCTAAGTATGCGATATACGGTCTCGAACCTCCGAAAGAGAGAATATGATATTAAAGCAACTAAAGACTGAATAAGTATCATAAAAGCTATAGTTGTAACTCTGTTTGTTCTTCTTGCAACTAAATCTGTTCTACAATCACTATAGTTCCATAAGAAAACCATGACAATTTTATATTTTGTTTGTCTATTATCAGTCTAAGATCCACACTGAGAGTATAGATAAAACCTGTCCGAAAACTCACGAGGGAACCTCTCGAGGTGATAAAAAGCTTTAAGGGTCAGACTACTTTTATCTTGTGGACCCTAGTGAGTAGTGAGATACCCATAAGTTGGTTCATACCCTTATTGCTTTGGAGGTGAGTTATGGCCAATTCAATATTTTTTGACGTATGACAGTACGTGAGTAACATT